ACTCTAGAAGAAATGGAATTGAGAATTGAAACACAAAAACAGACGCTTAATGCCAGAGATGAGTCAATAAAAAAGCTCCTAGAAATGTTGCAAAGCAAAGGTTTGCCATCCAAGGGGATGGAAGACGACAATGAAAGAACTCGAAGGATGGCAGAGGCTGAATCTCAGGTTAATCATTTAGAAGTGATTTTAGACCAGAAAGAGAAGGAAAACATACATCTTCGAGAGGTAAGAAAATCACCATCTAATTTTTTTCTGATAAAAAGCTACTGTCAAGATACTGTAGTAAGTTGCAAATCTATTTTCAGCTTTGGAAACTTGAAACTGATATCGATTCCAGTCTGATTTTTCTTGCATTATCCCCACCCCGCTCCTAGGAAACCTCTATTTTCAGATTATTCCAACTCATAAAAATGGATGCATCAAGAGTTATATATATCTTGAAAACAGGTATCAGAAAAATGAGGTCACTTTTATGTTTATTCCTTTTGACAGTGTCTTTTTAATCACAAAGCCACATTTCCTATGAAAAATGAAGCTTATGACAACTGCTAATATTGCAATCAAAGTATGAGGAAGAAATATAAACTTTCTTACACATAAGAAGCTAGAAATTAGAGTAAAATGATTTGGGCTTACTTATATCTTTGTATTTAAGATGTTCCATTTGGAATGTTTCATTGTTCATGGGAACATGCTTAGACACCTATGCATGTGTGTTCCTTAATGCATTTACAATGGTGGTCTCTAACTTTTTGCATAAATCAGCCTCTTTGCTACAGTAGAACATTGGCTGTACCAGCCAGTTTATATCTATTTGTGTTCAAATGTTAGTGTTTTACCCTGAAGCAGATGTTGGGCTTATTAAGTGCCTACTCTCACAACAGCACTGGTTTGTACTTTAGTTTGGATCATAGATAATTGGGCAGGAGATGAGAAGCAGCATAGAGGTTAATGACTGAAGTAAGGACAGTAGCCAGGCTGTCCAAGTTCTGTGTGACTGGAAGCCACAGGACTCCCAGCCACATACTGCTTTGGCTTCTTGCCGCACCATGCAAGTACCCTTTGCCCCACTGGGGCCCTGATGCATCTGCAACATCTGTCCCACCCCCTGCAGCACATGGGCCTCCAAAGTGCTGCACGATCTCTGCTTCTGCATCTCATGGGTCCCCAGTGGCACTACACTGCATGGATCCCCCCACACACCACTCCCACTCCTCCCACCTAGTAGCTGGTAACTCTCACTGCATCGCCCAGGTGCCACACAGGGTCCCCAGATCCCAAGGACTCACGCAACAGCAGCAAAAAGCAGAGGGGAGTGGCATTCAGACCAGGAGCCCAGGGTCTGCAGTTTAACCCTTCAGGGGTCACATGCAGCTTGTGGGCCATCAGTTGGACAGACCTGGACTAGAGCATGCAAAATTAATTGCAAAATATGATGTACCAGTATTGAGACCATTATCAGATGTCAGGAATGACTGTTATGCATGGTTAAGAATACTTGGCTAAATATCAACCTTGCTGCTTTGAAACTGAAAGAGAATGTTACGTGGTCTCTACAGAACATAGGTCAGAAGTTCTTATTGCCTTTGTCACAGAATAATTGCTTTATATTTAGTTTGCAACTTTTGCAATAATTGGAAGGAACAAGGAGAAGGGCATTTTTAAAACTCTCTTTTATGTTTTCCTTTTTTCCATTTTTCTTTTACCATGTAGCCACTTTCCTTCCAAAGACCACAAATAGGCAATTTGTCCATGAGAAGAAGTGACCTGGTCTTCAACAGTTCCCCAAACCAAGTGGAACTCAGACAATTCTGACATCAAAAATATGTTTAGTGATTTTTAACACAACATAGATTTTTACATGATACTGAGTTTCTTGGTCATATGATCTCTATATATTCTCTATTCTAGTGGTATTTACCACTAGAAATCTCACAGGGCACGTTCTTACATATTTATAGTTCAAGCCCTTTTTATTTCTCTTTTTGCAATGTGGTACCTCTTTAGGGAGGGGGGGGAGTAAAGTTTTGCCCTCTAGTCTATTGTTTCACACAAAAAGCCCATAGTCTTTTTCTGAGGCAAAATTCTCATTTAAATCAATGTTATCTGTTAGTAAAGTCTGAAAGTTAATGGAAAGTTGAAAGGATTTCTAGGAGAAAATTTGACTCCATTTGTCATACAGAACCTTCTTGGTTTTGATCTGCTTTTCTCTGAAGAGGTTATTCTGATTATTATAAGGTTACATGATTTATTATTAATGTTGGTCCTCTATTTTATGTTCTGGAACTTAGAAATCAGTGTCATGTAGGTATCTGCATCCTGATTTCAGTTTTGGTCTCATACTGGTTTTGGATAGAAAGCTGTGTGCATTAGTTTAATTGAGATGACACTTGATATGCAATACATTCTTGTATATTTATTAGAAGAGAGAGTTGACTTAGCTCTGATCTGCAGGCAAAACTGGGGGAGTTCCTGTTAACCTATAGAACTTATTTAAATAAATGCTAGTGTAGGTGAGGTTTTTGCCATTTGGTGCAGTCTCCAGTGTTATAAAAAGGAATTGTTATGTTTGAATAGTTATAGCAAGTTTACCCAGGGCATGTCTACATGAGATGCTTAACTGTGTAGTAACATAGTTTACTGCACAGTGAGTGTATGTGTCTACATGTGCACATGCTTACTACACAGTTAACCCCACTAATTGCGAGTAAATTTGCTACCTGCAAATGCAAGTAGAAAATTTAGTTTTGATTAGTAATGATGCAGTAGCACTCATGTAGATGCCTGGCTGGGAGCAAATCTGCTCTTGGTTAGCTGTCCACTTGGGCAGGAGTTTGCTCCCTGCCCCAAGGAGCTGCGGGCTGCCAGGGTAGGCTCTGCCACTGGAGCCCAGGCAGGGACTATGTTCCCCTGCCCTGGCAGCAGGGAGCTCCAAGCCCTTCCTCCCCCCACCCTGCTTTAACATGGAGATTTGGGTGTGAGGCTGGGAGATCCTTCTCTCCAAGAAGCCACTCTGCAACTGCGGGGTCAGGACTGGGAGACCCTTATCTCAAAATACTGGCCCTGCGACCATGGAGCTGGCACTGGGAGATAAGGGTCTCCCAGTGCCAGTCCCATGGTACGGATCTGGCTCTGGGAGCTCCCAGCTGGCCAGGGCTGGGGAGCTTATTCCCCGCTCAGCTCCACGCTCATCAGGGGCAGGTCCCAGCCCCATGTCCTGATCTGGTAAGTGAGACATGGGGCTTGGAAAGAGCTGCAGGAGTGAGGTAGCCCACTACCCTGATCTGCTGATGGAGCAGCTAGCAGTGAGCTAGTTGCTAGCTGCCCCACTGGCACACTGGAGCAGGGGGCTGAGATCTGCCCCTCCTTTGCAGCTCTTTCCAAGTCCCCTGCCCCTGATTGCAGAACCGGGGCCAGGAGCTCCTTGCTGCTGGGGCAGGGGGACATTGACCACTCCTGGGCAGCAGGCAGTCCTCAGGGGCAGGGTGTAATGTCCTAGCCAGCCCCTGGGCTAGCACCAAGGGGAACCTAGAGATCCCCCTGGTGGTGGCAGGGGCCCATTGCAGTGTGCTAGGAAGTGGGAGCAGTTTGCTGCCATTAGCAGCAAATCTGCTCTAGCTTCTCTGCATATGCCTGTTTGGGAGTGTTTACTTGCAAGTAGTTTATTTGCGAGTAAACTGATCCTAGATCAAATGCTTGTGTAGGCGTGCCCCCAGTGACGTATGTTTTATCTAGTGTTCTGTTTTTTTCTCCCTGTGTAGATGACCTTCAGATTTTTTCTAAGACTTTTGGAGCCAGTCTGAAACTCCAATATATTTATTTGAATCCAGTGCATGAATAATTTAGGACGTGTTACATTTTTATTTCTAACATTTTGTATACAAAGTATTTGATGTTTAAAATATAATGATGTCTGTCTTCTACAAGTTGATCTGAAAGGGCATGTTTGTAAAGTATATGCCTAGGAAGCTTATTGTTTTTTAGAGGCATCTTGTACACAGTGGGTATGTCTACATGTTCATTTATGTGCCATAGTTACTGTACATTAAGATTAGTGTTTGCATAACCAAATACTAAATAAATGCACAGCAACTGGTGCTTCTGAGCAGTAGTGCTAACACACAGCTTTTTAGTGATGCTAACTGCACAGTAGCCTGATACTTCTGCGTAATAACATATTAGCACGGGTTTTGCTTGGCATGCTACTGTGTAGCATTAGACGCACCCAATATTGATCAAACATTTGATGTCTATTTGCATTTATTTCTCTCTCTTGTTTGACAATTTGTCACTGCAATTAGAAGAGCAGACTGCCTAACAGCAACAGGTTAAGGTCCAGGTGATCTTTCTAACAGTATCAGAAAACAATACAATTAACATTTTCAACTGCCAGTTTCTACAGCAGTCTCCATGTCAGAGGAGAATGGTATATGAAGAAAAAATTAAAAATCTTGTGCAAACAACAAATGCTATTTGTGGGAAAAGGTGTGGAACTTAAGAAGAATGAGTGAAAATCCCATATTGACTTCAGACACTGTAAACTGAAGAGAATTAACTTACTGGAAAGAGAAATTGAGGCACTGGCTATATAACCTCAGCATCAAGGTAAGCCTCTCTCAAACCTTTGCAGGCTACCAGTTCTCTCTTCTTGACATCAAACAGGTCTGTGGGGCTGTCTCTTCAATAAACCCTTCCCATTCCTTCCTCTTCCTGTTGGAAAGTCACATTTCATTTTTGTTCTTCCAAGTTCTGTATTACTGCCAAATTTCCAAGTGCTCTATATATTTCCCAGAGTCAGAAGTGCCTCCAGGATATTTCATTTACCACCATGCCTTCTGAAGTCCTCTTTGGGAATTAATTTCATGCATTCTTTGCCATAATCTACAAGTTACATCTATGCATTGTGTGCCCGCCTCCTTGCGATGGTTCACGCTCATGCCGCCTTTGCCTGAGCTGCTGACCTTGCTTGCCAGGGACCTTCATGCAGACCCCAGAGGGTTCCTCGGCTACCCTCAGGGTGACCTGCAAACTCTCCTGCCACGACTTTGAATGGTCCTTCAGTGGAGGGAGTCCCCTGTGAGGATGCCTCCAGAGCTGTCATGTGTCATGGCAGACGTTCACAGGGCTCCAAACTCCCCTACACCCCGGCCATGCACCAACCTTTGAGACGGGCCTCCAGATCTTTCGCGGCAATCCCCTGCTGATATCCTCCCCGATCCCCACGT